TGTTCTCTCTCCCAGGCTGGAGTGCAATGGCACAATCTCAGCTCACTGAAACCTCTGCCTCCCAGGTTCAAGCAATTCTCCTGCCTCAGCCTCCCGAGTAGCTGGGATTACAGGCGACTGCGACCGCCCCCAGCTAGTTTTTGTATTTTTTAGTAGAGATGGATTTTCACCATGTTGGTCAGGCTGGTTAAGAACTCCTGACCTCAGGTGATCCACTTGCCTTGGCCTCCCAAAGTGCTGGGACTACAGGCTTGAGCCACTATGCCCAGCCCATCTCTATTTGTTAAAAAAAATCCTAGTTACAGTATAGTCACATGAACACTTATGCTATCATTTCTTTCAAAACCCAAGTTTAGATAAGACATATGTAACTGATGTTAAACAAAGAAAATAAGTTCAATTTTCAAAGAGAAAAACAGACTTACTTCTTCTGCTGTTACAGTAGGTTCTTCAGGTAAATCAGGAATCTAAAGAAAAGTAAGTATTGGTAAAAGGAATGTGAACATTTTCAAGAAGCAAACAAAAGTGTCAATGAGAAGAGTTCCTTTCAATATAGAGTTTAGACATACATCTAAGCTTACTGAAATCTTTTCTTTAAATATACGTCTATAAAAGTTTTATCATGAAAATGGGAGCTCAATAAACATTTTTGGGCAAGTGTGCTAAAAATTAATCTTAAAAATAGGATTTAATAGCTCCCAACCTATATACACTTAAAAGAATTTTGCTTTTTAGGCTGGGCACGGTGGCTCATGCCTGTAATCCCAGCACTTTGGGAGGCCAAGGTGGGCAGATCACAAGGTCAGGAGATCAACACTAGCCTGGCCAACATGGTGAAATCCCGTCTCTACTAAAATACAAAAAATTAGCCGGGCATGGTGGTGTGTGCCTGTAGTCCCAGCTATTGGGGAGGCTAAGATTGCAGTGAGCCGAGATCGCACCATTACATACCAGACTCTGTCTCAAAAAATAATAATAATCAGATTTAGACCACATCAAAACATTTGCTACCAGGCAAGGCGTGGTGGCTCACGCCTGTAATCCCAGCACTTTGGAAGGCAGACACAGGCAGATCATGAGGTCAGGAGTTTGACACCAGCCTGGCCAACATGGTGAAACCTCACCTCTACTAAAAATACAAAAATTATCTGGGCATGGTGGCACACACCTGTAGTTCCAGCTACTCAGGAGGCTGAGCAGGAGAATCACTTGAACCTGTGAGGTGGAGGTTGCAGTGAGCCGAGATCGGGCCACTGCACTCCAGCCTAGTGACAGAGCAAAAAACTGTCTCAAAAAAAAAAAAAGAAAAAAAAAATTGCTACCAATGACTTCATCTCCAGAAATCCCTTTTATTGATCAATACCATAGAGTATATTTTATAACATTTAATCTAACAAACATTACTTGTATTTACTAAATAACTCATTTGTTTTCCTTTGGTATCAAAAGCATACGTGACTGTCAAGTAAAATTTGCCATCAGCATAAGATAGTGTTAACAAAACACAAAGAAACTTGAATTTTTAATCAGTCCATTTAGTTAATTTGATCTTTTTCAAATGTCAGTGATAGTTCAATAATTCCCTGCTGAGTCTCCCTGCTGAATCTCCACTACAGGACAAGGAAATCTGAAACTGAGAAGCAATATATTAGAAACTACTTTCAGAGAATAGACAGGCCTCCCAGCTTTCCCTAAAGGCTGGTAAAAACAGATTTATTTCCAATTTTTTCCAGCTCCAATTGGAATTAATTTAGGGATTAAAGATTTGAATGAAAAACGTGTATAATAAACCTGGGCAGTATTCCAATGTGACTGATTGCTAATCTATTCCCTAGAAGGGCCAGTAAGGAAAATTACACACTCATGTTAATAACAGCTGTTAGCCACTCACAAGGTAGGGCTTGATAATGTCTTAAGTTAATAGGAATGCCCCCCTTTGTAAGCATTGTATTTCTCTCTCTCTCTTTTTTTTTTTTTTTTTTTTTTTT